AACAGATTACTTAAGCCAATCAACCCCAGCAGCTAAGCATCTTGGCAGGAAGGTAAATGCTATTACACTTTATTTACCTGGCATCATCAAGGTAACCAGAATACCAGTGTGAATTCTCCAGGTAACTGAAGCCTACCTTTAAAGCCAAAGCAATTCATTTCAGCCGTTTTTTTTTTTAGAAAGTTTCTTTAAAATGTATTATGTGGTTCTCTACCAGCTCTAACCATCTATGCTCATTTTCAGGTCTAGAGAGGTCATATATGATGGAAGAAGCCAGCTTTGGAGTCAGCCTGGCCCTGCCATTTGATAATGCCAGTGGACCTTGGCCAGGCTTCTAGGTCTCTCTTAGCCACAGTTTCCCCATCCATTAGATGGGGGTAATGACAGCCCCTGGATCATAGGGTCGTGCATGTAAAGTGATTAGCACCTAACAGTGATTCAGTTATAATGCTTTTACTAAATGCCAAGCACTCTTATAAGGACTTATGTTATCTCGTTTACTTTGCATAACACTCTATGAATTAGGTACTGTCGTTATTCTAATTTTACAGTTGAGGGAAGGGAATCACAGGGAGATGAAGTCACACCACCAGGCAGTCTGGCTCTGGCTTTTCCACTCACACCATTGCCTCTGGGTACGTGAAACACAGGAAACATTCCATCAATGGTGGCTGATAAGAATAACTGCTACATAGTTTTACTGAGTTACGGGCTAAAGACTTGTGTGGGCCTCTGTAGTGCCTCCCAGTGGTGGATGTTCAGGGATAGCCTTGGCTGCTGATTTTTCCTTTCAAATATCAAACCAAAAATTGCAGACAAGAAAGCTAAGGGAAAGCTTTTTCCCTTTTTGTTTATGTGTTATTCCTTAAAATTAAGAGAGAGCATATTTAGCATATGTGAGGAGGTTAGAAGCGTAGACCAAAGTATGGGTGATTTCCCTCTCACGGCTCTGAAGATGCAAGTGCATCAGAGATAGCACTGCAGATTTTGGAAACAACTTTTCTTTATGTTCAAATGCATTTTTCTTTATTTCCTGCAGTGTTTCATTGGAAATCAACATTATTCAGCTCTATTTTTCCTTCTTGGAAGCTCTCAGCTTTAGTACATTCTTCTCAGTAGACATTCACCCTCTTCTAATGCTCTGCTTTTGGTACCTACAAACCAAAGACTAATTTTAAGCTTCATCAGAAGTGGTACATCCAGATACTTTGTTGTGGACTGACCAAAAATAAAAGGCTTCTTACATATAGAATTTAATTCCAACCACAAAAGGCTAAAATCTTGGAACAAAGTGTAAATAATAATATTTAATAACAATGAGCCCACTTTTCAGGTGTGGATTCTCAACTGACGATATCAGACATTTTGAAATGGGGTGATTTAGTAGTAACAGTTTTCGTCCCATTTTTGCCTAATTTAAACCTTTGGTATCTGAAAATTCTGTAAGTAAAAATATTGGCACAAAATTATAAAGTAACATTTTATCCGATTCCCTGAGATACTCTGTTTAATTCCTCACTTTTCCTTGAAGCTGTGGTGCTTTGAGAATGAAGACAGACAGCGTATCACAGTGCAGAGAAGCACAGGCTTTGGGTTCAGTGCACCAGGATTCAGATCTCAGCTCTGCTGCTTAGTGATTGTGTCACTTTGGACCAGTTGCCTCGATTTCCTTATGTGTAACGTGAGGATAACAAAGTCCCCTTTACCTAGTTCTTGTAAAGAAAAATGTATGAAAAGCATGCAGCACAGTCCCTGGCAACCACTAAGGGCTGAATAAATGGTGACTCTTCTCATTATACCAACTCTATCATTAGACTGTTTTCATTATTCCATAACAAACTTCCATCGAACCTGTAGTTATGAAAACATCTTCACTTTGATTCCAGTTCACCTTTTTTCTTTGTGTTCCTCCCCATCACCATTACATCAGTGACATTTATTCTCACCTAAATCGTCAGATCCATCCCTTTTGTGTCACTTGAAGTCCGCACCATGTAATTACATGCTGTTCTTGCTCTCACTTTCTCGTGTTCGTCATTTCTCCAAAGCCAATGTTGCCCTGGGACAAAGACCATCTCCCTAATGTCTGGCTGAGCCCTAGGTGCTCAGTAAATGCCTCAGGCAGTGGTTTCCCCTTCACTCTGGCCCAGACGACAGCCGTTCTTTCCAAGTCAGAGCACTCGTGACCATGGGTCTGCGGCCGGCTTCTGCGGCCATGCTCTAGCCTTCAGTTAACCTTTCTGAGCTCGTTTTCTCAACTGTAAGATGAGGATGAAAATATTACCCATCTCTTAGGGTTGTTGGGAAGATTGAGGACATGTTAATACATGCAAAGGGCATAGAAACTGCCTGGTCCATAGTTAGTGCTGCTAATATTCTCTGCTTTCGTTAATGAAACTCAGATGTTTAGGTGGAAATAGCATTTTACAGATGGATATCTTCTTATAATACAGAGTCTTTCCAGATAAAAATTGAGCAGATCAGGTCTATGATGCTGTCCTAATTGCTTGGCCTTCTGCTAGTCACAGTAATTTTATAATTATCTGGCTCATGTTGAGAGAAATTTAATAGAAAAACTATATAAGAGGAAAATTATTAGGACTTCTAATTAGTCATAGTCTTATATTCATCTTAATATTGAGAAAAAAGATTTGTGACCCCTCAGTTACATTTATCTTGATTGAAAGACAAATAATGTGTTATCTGGTAGCTGATGGTGGTCAGTACAGTGTGTTGTGTGTTTGTGTTATCTGCTTGTCTGGCAGTTTTATGACGTTACTGGTGGTGCCTGGAAACCCAGAGGGGTGTGGTTAGACTTCCTTGGGTGAAGAAGCAAATTGGAGAGACTAGTGAGTCATATATTTCCATGATTATCATACTGAACTCTGCTGGATTTTTGCTGCATCTAACCGTGGGTGTAGCAAGCAGACTGATTTCTGGGCATGTATGGCATTAGCTTGGATATTACAGTTGTGCACTTTGCAGGAAAAAATAATAAATTGTTAACCTAAAGCATTTTTTTAATGACTTGAGGTGGGCTGTGACCTTTGAAACTCTGTTTTGTACCTTGTGGAGTAAAATAGCTCTAAAGCTGACGTGTTTTTTCTTATTTTGAACTAGAGTCCATGTGCTTAATCATGGTGCCGTAAGCTTACTGGGAATCTACATGTATGAACTATCATTATGAAATAAATATCGCCCTCAACCTATTATACTATTAAGGATGTCACTCTGCCCTTAGAAACAGTGTTGTGACTTTCATTTCAAAATAAATAGGAGAGAAATCTGCAGTCTGCGTGCTGGAGTGTTTGTGGGGCTAGGTTGTGTCCCATCTCACTTATTTTGCCTCTTGTGTGAAGATGAGTTTATTCTTGGGTTAATCTTTTACAGACTCTCCAATTTTGTACATATTAACCCTTTTCTCCACTTAATATCATTTCTTTGCCACTTGATCATTACTGAAGAATTTGCTTACTTCTAAACATTTTAAGTGAAGTGATCAGATAATTTTGGAAATTTTTCTTGAACTGTGCATTCTGCTAAATATTCTGGGGAAACATTTTGGCTCTGCTTACTTTGTTAATGCTGGTTACATCATTATGGGAGCTATAGATTTCTTGGGCGTGCAAAATGATTGCATATTCATGAACATCTTCAATCCTGAAATATTTGTAAATAACTTGGCAATTTTTTTCATAAGGTGGCCTATTAAAAGGATTAGGTCTTTAATTGTTCACACAGAAAGAATTTGTGCTTATAGAGCACCACCTATCTGATAAGTAACATTTCTATGCTAAGCAATTTGGATTACGAACATATAAGTCACCTTCCTTAAACAAAGTATAAGGGATGCTATTTTCTGCTTTAGAATGATTCAAGTTTGAAAATGTCAATAGATGCAAAAAGCCACCCTAGAGCTTTGCTCTCTCGAAAGAAAGTAGAGAAGGAATGACATAGTCAATGTTAACTGTCACCAGATGAAGAGAAATCAGATTGTCAGGCCTGGATCTATAACATTCTTGCCAAAGTAGGACCTCATTTACACATACAGATCTTCATACCCTTTGCTAAGAAAAGCATCTGTGGCAGTTTAGATGTTTGTGCGTTTGCCAAAGATCTTTCACTCTGAATAAAGTAAATGTCATGTCTGTTGTTTATCTCAAATTCAGCAGAGTATTTTTAAAAGGAAATATTTGCGGGGGAGGGTTGAAGGAAGAAGGGAGGAGGGAGGTTGGGGAGCTCCAGTTAGAGGGGTGTGGCCGCTTTACAGCAGTACTCAAGTATCAGAACGGATCTGGATAAATCAGCTTAAAACACAGTTTGGACTCATGAACTAAAAATGTCCTTTTGAAATGACAACACTACAATAAATTGTAATGGGGAGTCTTCCTGAATCTATACCTAGTCTGTCAACACCAAAAAATCCAGTTAATTCAGTCAAACTGATTATTTGGCATCATGTAGACACAGCTGTCTTGAACTAAAATTTTGAACACTTAAACATAGATGGCATTGTACCCGAAGCCAGCTGGTACAATGGCATCTATCTGTAATTGTGTGTAAAGATTGCTTAGACTTCAAAGATTGGAAATAGAGCTTAATTGCTCCAACTTCAAGCTGGACCCCATTGAATAGCAATTAGAAAAAAAAACCCTAGGTTATAAGATTTCTTGACAAATAAGTACCCTTGGTAAGTTCAGACTTTTTGTCAAGTGTATGATGTGGTGATTTAACTATGTAAATTGCCTTGAATATGAAAAATGTAATTCTTTATGTACCTTTTTTAAAAACCATATTTAACCTAGCTTATAGGCATTTGAAATCATGAGATCCTAATGTAAAATAAATCCTGCAACTTTTCTTGAAGACATCTATTTCAAGTGATACAATTACATCACTCTTTGCAAAAATCAAATATTTGTCTTCAATAATCCCTTATCAGTGGTATTTGTTTTATGGAAGTATTCTCTGTGACTCTGAATATCATTTTATTCCCACAGATGACATGGAAGCCATTCCTGTCAAACAGTTTGTTAAACACATTGGTGAGCTCTATTCTAATAACCAGCATGGGTTCTCCGAGGATTTTGAGGTATGTTTCAAAACTGGAAATTAATTTCCAGAAACCTAACTCTTATTTTACAGGGATTTTTATAAACTTGAAATGAATTTACTCCAAGCATAACCGTAATTGAGAAAAGTGGAGTGTTTTTTTTTTCTTTTCCTTACACTCATAAATTTAACAGGCATTCTTTTCCCAGTAAAGATGAGGTGCAAGGGAGTTGGTTGCACACTTCCTCAACATGCACTTCTATGAAAGAACAGACTTAGTGGTAGAAAAGAAAAACAAACTCCAGTTCTTCATGTTAATTCTAACCGGCACAATAGGCGTAATGCAAAGCAGAGGGCTCTTAATTCCATCCTGTCTGGGATGCACGAGGTGTAGTGGAGAGGGAGCTGAGTTGGAGGAACTGGATGCTGGATCCACAGTGGTGCGCTTCGTTGTTCTTGGGCCAGTCACTTCATCCCTGACTCCCAGTTTCCTCGTTTCCAAAATTGGCGCCACTAATGTCACCTACATCCTCAAGTTGTTGGAAAAAGTGAATGATTAACATCTTTGAAAGTGCTGGGTTAACTGTGAAGCCCATGCAAAGGTTGATTGTTGTTGTTTTCATGATTATTAATCCTTGGAGAGAAGACGTGGGTTAACACAGCCTTCTGATTTTAAGAACTGGTGTGTAGGAAACAAGGTAGAGAGCAGCACGCGCCACCCTGCCAACTCTGGGTTTCCTGCCAGTTCAGCAGTGACAGGGTGTCAATGAGGAGCTATTAAACAGACTGCCCTTTTCTTCACTGAGGCGCTTAACTAAGGCACATCTCTGGCAGCAAGCGTGGTATCGAGGAGGCCAAGTTTTCATGGCAGCTCAGCTGTCTTCTAGCTTTGTGGATAAGTCAGTTCCTTTCTCTGTCTCTTTTCTACTTTAAAATGGAAATAATGATGATGATGCTAACCTGCCCACCTCTTTCACAAAATTGGCTAAGGGGATCAAATGGAGTAATGGAAGGTAAGCACTTTGAGATCATCTGGGAGCCATACAGCTGGGAGGTGCAATTATTTTGCATGGACAATGAGAAATAAAAATAGAACCAAAAGCCCCTGTCTCTATGCAAATTTGGAGTCTCCAAAGGCCATCATAAAGGCAATTATATTGACAACTCGTTTTAAACTAAGTCTTTGTCCTTCTCCTAGTTTTCTGTTTGTTTTGTTTTTTGAGAAAAATGAAAGCAAAGGTGATAGAAAAAGAACCCTCTGATTTATTCTGCAAAGTCATATGTTTCATGGAACAAACAAAAACATGTCAAGTATTTAATGTGGCTATTAGATGCTTACCAAAAAAGGTGCCTATTCAACTACAAAGAACATGGTTTAAAGTCAAACATTTTGTATTCATGAGGACAGCAAATGTGTGTGGTGTTAAAGTGATTTAGTTCAATTGACTGTTGGCTGGATGACTGAGCAAGAATATTGAGGCATTTAACAATGTTGATGGTATTCAGGACAAACATTTATCCTCTAGAGAACAGAATTTGATCAGGATGATCAAATGCAACTCCAGTTTCTCAATTATTTATGATTTGAGACCCCAGTGCTATTCATCACAGCTGGTTTTGACACCATTTAATTATTCAAAGTAATCAGCTATACCTCTGTAAACTTGATCTGAGCTAAAATGGGCTTGGCTGCATCAAAATCAAGCCTGTTAATAAATCCTGGGCATCTGCACCCTATTTCTAGCCTTAAAAAATAATACTGTGGCTAGGAGCTTTCATTGCCTATATTGAACTTTATAGTTTAGGTATTATTAGCTGGTAGTTATGAGTGGGGACCAGAGAGGGTGGGGAGGCGGGAGGCTTTGTTCTGCTGTTGTCCTTTTGCAATCTCTCTGATTTGAAAGGTTTAAAATCAGAGCTGTTCAGAATAGGATGAATATCCTTTCTTCTGAAAAGCACAGGAAGGCAGCAACATCAAGGAGGAATGAGACAGTAGAAAAACTTGCTGATATACTGTCATCTTCTAATTTAGGGAAAATTTGAAGTATTTTAAAACAGTGGTATTATTCCTTTTTTGGTAGCTCTGCTAAAAAGGAAAACTGGTAACAGCCTGTATCAGAAATTATTAAGGCTGTTTTATAAACGAGATAGTAATAGGCTATAAAAGGAAGGTCAGGAAAAGAGATTTTGTGTGATTAAAAAAAACAACAAAACAAAATCCTCATTATGGTAAGAGAGTAGTAACCTCAACCCCAGATTCGCAGATCTTTTTACGTGGAGTAATGATGGCCGGCATTTACTTAGCACTGTGTGTGGATTATTTCACTCGTTCCCCAGAACCACCCCATGATGTGGGTGCTGTCTTACGGTCCCCAATTTACAGATGAGGAAATTTTACCCGTGAGAAAACTGAGGCTTTGGGTGGCTCAGTTTTGAAATGGCAGAAGTAGGTTTTAAGACCAGGGCTATCTGACTCGAGCCCACGTATGTAACCTTGATGCCCTTCAGAGTAGTAGTAAAGTAGTAGTATCCTGTACTGAGCTGAAGTCAGAGAGAAAAACAAGATTGCCACTGATTATCTAAAACTGACCATGCAGCTGATGAACCAACAATTGCCTTAGCAAAAAAGGGGGAGGGAGCAGCCAAAATAAGGAGCCCCCCTACTAAGAGTACTAGGAGCACATTATATGATCTTTATGGTCTAGAGCCTTCCCAGATGGCTGAGAATCTGACTTATAAAAATCTTCTACAACATCTGAATAGAAGCCTAAAATTAGTCAAAGAACTAATCTTAAAGTTATAGAGAAATACCACTTAACAGTTGATATTTGGCCATTAAGAGATAAAACAACTCATCTAACAGTTTCTGAGTATGTACTGTTCTCTGGACATAATATAAGGTACACAGATGAATTAGACAGAGACCTTGCCCTCATGGGGTTCAGTCTGGTGGGGGTGGAGACCGGAGTGTACACAACCAAAGTAGAAAGCGTACAAAGCAAAATAAGTGCCAATACAGATATAAAGTTCTGGAGGAGTGCAGAAGAGAAAGGCATCTATGTATTTTGATTGGGTATTTCACCAAAAGTTCTATTTGCCCCATCTTGTTTAAAAATCTTGGATGGAAGTGAAAAACAATTTGGTGAATAGCTGTCATACTTTCAGAACTTTGCTGCTTGGAGGAGAATGAGAAAAAGGATTCCCTGGTAATTTTGAGTCTTTGTCTAGAGGTGATGCTGAAAGCAAGCTTTTTGTCTTTGTCAGATAAATGTTGGAGACGGTTAAAAGCTGGCGACGTTCTATCTCTAGCAGATTTTGCAGTCACTGGAAATAACGTCAGTCTTTGTCTCAGGATAGTGTTCAATGACTCTGTTCCCTTGGCTACCTGAGCTGACTTCAACTTCACTCGTCCCCGGCCTCCACAGTCATGATCCATGAGGCTTGCAAAGGCGCAATGCTAGCATAATCTTTCACAAGGAGGGAGCTCCGAGGCCATGTGGGTCGACAGAATTAATAGGCAGGGGTCAGGAGCATCACAAGTGTAAAGGCTGAGTACCAGATGAGGCCAGAGGTCCAGTACCCCTGGATGAGATCCTTTGGGGGATCACCTCTGTTACAGTTAACTGCAGCTGAATTAAATTTGGGCTGGTTGCTCATCTTAAATCAAGAGAACAAAGCTTTGTCCACCTGAGCCCATGTGCTAAGGGACCAGTAGCCACAATCACTTTACATAAAATGCAGACTTCTGATGTTGCTGATGACGCATAGTAGGGAGTCCCTGAACAGAGGTGTAATGCTGCATAAAGACTGCTGCCTGCAAGATGGCAGAAAATGACTCTGTACAGTTTCCCGAGCCTCTGTGACAAAATGCCAGTTTGGGTCTTAAATGTCTTAAAGAAAAACATTTTTAAATCCTTATTATGAAGAAAATCATAGTTGGTTGATATTTTTAGGAAGAGTGAGGGAAAAGTGAGTTAGTTTATAAATTGTATGTGAAAAATAATTTTAGATTATAGACCTGCTGTAGGATGATAGGCACTGTGCTGTACTCTCCAAAGATGGGTTGGTTTTCTGGAGGGGTAAGGCAGTAATTTTAGATAAAGACATATGGATTCGGATAGGGGGAGAGAAGGACAGGCATTCTTGGCAAGGTAAATGGCAGTGAAGCAAAGAGCAGGAAATCATATGGTCTTTTCAAAGGGCAGAGAATTAAAACTGTCTGGCATTGGGGAGGGAGCTGAACACGGGATGGGACCTTGAAAGCCTCACTAAGGAATTTAGAATCTGTCCAGAGGTTTCTCAGTAAGAGAATAACAAAGTCAAAGCAGTATTTGAAGACAGTCTGGCAGCAGTTTGTAGCCCGAGCAGAGGAGAGTAGAGGCAGGAAGATGCAGTGTAACCAGTACCTGGCGAGGGCCAGCTCTGTGTCCGTCCTGTACAAGTACCGGGCTGTAGTCATGACCTAAACTCATCAGTCATCTGTAGAATAGTCCCCTGAACACAGTTGTGGGCTGCCTGGACTCAGATATTAAGAACGTGATACATACTCAGTGTAATACTTGGTCATTAGGTTCAAAATATTTTCTTCTCAGCTTGCTTTGTGAAGCTGAGTAATCTGAAAGATTTCTAGATGTATTTTTTGTTCCATTATTTTTTCACATTGAGCCACAGAATGCTAGGACAGTAAATCTCCACGTGCTTTTTTGACAGCCTCTCACATCAACGACTCCAGGCAGGAGGTGATTCAGCCTATTTTATCTCCCGAGAATGCTGAGTATATCAACTTTTAGTATTTTTGTTCACTTTTTTATTTTGACTTTATTTTAAACCTCTTGTTTTCAGTTGGCTCTCTTCTACAGTTGTGTGTCTGTTAATACTCAGAATATTCATTTTGAGAATTCCAGCTTTGTTATATAGATAGTAAAATCCAAACAAGCTTAAATTTTAAACTATTTATCAGAGTGCTGAATAGGTAACTTGGTAACTTTACACACTCCATCAGCCAGTGTCACTTGAAAGGGTTTTAACACCTATTAAAATCACATTAACTTTGAAATGCCAGTTCTGATGGAGAAAAGCCACTCCAGGATCAGATGATATTATCAGCATCTAAATGGGCCAAGCAGTACTGCAAGGAATTACAGATGACATTATTATCCACAAGACAAAATCAGAAGGCCTTAGGCAAACCCCTTGGGTTCTAATAAGATCAGATTTAACATTATTTATGACTATTCTTTGTTTTCTGTCATTCGCATAATTGGAAAAGTGAAATAGAGGCAACAGATCAGACCAAGGATTTTAGATAACAAAGAGTTGGATTGGTTATAGTGAATGACTGCTTTAAACAGTACAGACAGCTGCTCCCAAGCAGTCTTGGTCAATTGCATTATATTATAATAAAGGCCCAACCTCAGTCCATAGCTAGGGTGGTCAGATCCACACAGTGGGGAAAAAATAGCAATAAACAAAGCGAATCTCAAACTCAAGTCCTAAAAGCTAAAATCGCTCAGCACAAGATATCTTAGCAACTCAGCCCTGAAATGATACATGCCAAAGGTATGACCTTCAAAACCCTGAAGCAAAAGGATGTCAGCTTATTTCAGGGATTTGTGTATAGACTGAATTAACGTCTTCCAGAATACAAACTCATCTTCAAAGGTTTCCTGCCCCGGAAACTAGTCAAAAGAGTATGCCTCAGTCTTTCGAGGCAATTCTAAAAGGCCAGTCCCCCAAATACTCTGAATATGGCTAGCATTGCTTATGTTCTGGTAGATGTCAAGCCTCACCAAAAAAAACACAAAAAAAGATATCAGATTCATTATTTTGTTATCAGCCCACACGTTGTCTCATTTTAGAGAAAAGAGCCAAAGGCAGCCTTAAGCCCCTTTAAACCAGCATTTGCCAAACCGCAGGTTACAAACCATTTTAGAATGGAACAGAAAATATCAGAGTTGATCACATCTACTAAGAGTAAGAAAAGGGTAAGGATTGTCATGAAACACACACTTTCCCCAGAGAGGTGTCTTGAATTAATGCCTGTGAGGCTTTTTTTTTTTTTTTTTTTTTTTTGACAACGGGGAAGGCCTACAATTATGGAAAATTCAGTATACAGCTTCTAAGAATCAAGAGTCCATGAATGGTTTCTTTGAATAGATAATGACCCTTTGTTTTTCTACCTTAGTTAAAATCTTTGATTACAGTGAGTTCCTCCTTGGAGAGAAGAACTCACTCAGAAGTACTTGGGAAATATAAAAGACAACCAGTTCCTTGTTTTCATTATGCCTAATGTAAATGCTGTGGAAAACATCCATAATTGCTATGCAACTCCTTTGTGAAAAACAGTCTGCGTGCTCCTAAACTCTGTTACATCTGTTATGTGTAAAACATTTCTCCTGATAATTTTGTGCCACTTTGCTCCTGCTCTTTGTAGCAGCTGTGCACTACTAATGACTTCCGTTATTAGTTAGCTTCAGCGCTTTCTTGGGTTTGAAGCGTACAGCGTAGAAAAATTTGGCTTTTCAGCAACCTTGTATTATGCTAATAGATGATGTTTATATCCATGGCAAAGGTAGCTGAAGAGAGTTGCTTCTTCCACTGCTGTTTTTCTAAAGGATAATTTAAATAAAAGCGTTAACAAATAATTCATCAGAGCCATGTATGTTTGAGCCAGATATGACAGTTGATTGGGCTATATATTAGTTATATTAGTGTCATTTCGGGACTGAGTCTTTATAGTCAATTTGCAGTCTGATCGTTATAAAACAAGGCCATAAGGCCTGTAAGCGTATTGCAAATCATGGTGGAGATTATACTTCTGCCTAGAATATTCCTGTTCATCCTTTGAGACACAGTTGAGTTCTCTCCTGTCTAAAGCCTTCCTCTGTGCTCCCATCATAGTTTCTTCAGGCCACTTTTCTATTAATCACATTTGGCTGTCACTATCCTTTTGCACGTTTTTCTCACCCATCAGACCGTGACATGTTAAAAAAGAGATACTGTTTTCTAATCTCCAAGCCTAGGTCAAAATCTGGAATAAAGTAGGTGATTGATGAATTAGTAAAGAATGAAATCCTTTTATCTTGTTCACATCCTTCATACATTTGTTATGAATATGTCAGTAACTATTTCTGAAGTTGAGTTTGGGGAGATAACGGTGGCATTGGTTATGGAGTGAGTAAATACTTTATGCCTTTGGATGTAAATAGTTCCTTTCTTGCTGCAGCCTTGTTTTTAAACATCTAAAGTCTGTCTAAAGTCTTTGAAATCTTGCTGTTTGTTTTCTTCACTAGGAAGTCCAACGCTGTACGGCTGATATGAACATCACTGCAGAACATTCCAATCATCCAGATAACAAGCACAAAAACAGATACATCAACATTTTAGCATGTGAGTAATAAACTAGAAACTATCTTCAACTGTGAGGAAATTAAATCTTCATGCTGGGTCTAAGCTGAAAGCCAAGCAATCAGAATCAGGATGCCAAGAAAGAATTACACTTGCAAGTTAACCTCTCATTAGCCCATCTTCAACCATGTGTAAGAAGTGGGAACATTTTCTGCCCCCTTAGTCTTTTATTAAGCTGTCAGATCTCAGCCTAATAATAAGGTGATTGAGAGAAAGTGTTCTGAGCTTGACTGTTTTCACATGAAGTGATTTCATATCCGATGCTGGGAACCAAAATTTTAACGTCATATGGCTATCTTGACATTGTGCTTAACCAGTGAAAGCCACGGCTTTTAATACAAATAGAAATACTGAGAGTTGAATCAAGTAAGCCAAATTTCACAGCAGTCATTCTAAGACTAGGTAATAGGTCTATACCTTAAATGATGAGCCTCTGCTCCTTGTGGCCCATGTGCTTAGTCCTATCCAACATATTTCCAAGGTCAAGAGTATCCTGGAGGTTCGGAACTCAAGCAAATAAGCGTTCTTCTTACGGAGCCTCAAGAAATACCCTAGGAGCACAGGCTACTTCTATAGCTAGAATGCCAATTGGGTCACTGGCAGTTAATGTATGCTTTGATATTGAGGGCAAGGGCCCAGATGTTTATGGTTAACATACACTATGGTAAGGAACACATTACATAAAATTAGTGCATTTAAATAAAAAATTGTGCATTTAAATTGGACCACTTAAATTTGAACACTACTGTAGATAAATTTTTTTATATTACTTTAGTGAGATATAATTCACACACCATATAAAATTCACCCATTTTAAGTTAATTTAAATTCGCATTTGAATTTAAATTTTAAGTGAATTTCAGTGGTTTTTAGTATAATCACAGAGTTATACAACCATCACCACTATCTAATTTTAAAACATTTTCAGCAACCCAACAAGAAACCCCTTTACCCATTAGTAGTCACTCCCAATTCCTCCCTCTCCCCAGTGCCTAGAAACCACTTATCTACTTTCTGTCTCTAAGTATTTGCCTATTCTGAACATTTCATGTAAATGGAATCACACAATTTGTGGCCTTTTGTGTCTGGTTTCTTCTACTTAGCATGATGTTTTCAAGATTTACCCATTTTGTACCTTGTATTAGTACTTCATTCCTTTTTATGGCTGAATAATACTCCGCGGTATGGATATACCACATTTTTTTTTTTTTCCGGTGAGGAAGACCAGCCCTGAGCTAACATCCAACACCAATCCTTCTCTTTTTTGCTGAGGAACATTGGCCCTGGGCTAACATCTGTGCCCATCTTCCTCTACTTTATATGAGATGCCGCCACAGCATGGCTTGACAAGTGGTGCATCGGTGCGCACCTGGGATCTGAACCTGCAAACTCTGGGCCACCGAAGCAGAGCACGCACACTTAACTGCTGCGCCACTAGGCTGGCCCTGTTTGTTCATTTATTATTTGATGTACATGTGAATTGTTTCTACTTTTTGACTATTATGAATAATTCTGATGAACATTTGTGTACAAGGTATTGTGTAGATATATATTTTTAATTCTCTTGAGTATATACTTAGGAATGGAATACTTAGGTCATATGGTAACTTTATGTTTAACATTTAGAAGAACTGCCAGACTGTTTTCCAAAGTTGTTGCATCATTTTACATTCCTATCTGCAATATATGAGGGTTCCAATGTCGCCACATCTAACACTTGCTACTTCATTTTCTTTAATAATAGCCATCCTAATGGATAGGGTCTCACTGTAGTTTTGATTTGTATTTCCCTAATGATTAGTAATGTTGAGCATCTTTTCATGTATCTATTGGTCATTTGTGTATCTTCTTTGGAGAAATATCTATTCAGCTCCTTTGCCCATTTTTTAATTGGATTACTTGTCTTTTTATTGTTGAGTTGTAAGAGTTCTTTATACATTCTGGATACAAATCCCGTATCAGATATATAGTTTGCAAATATTTTCTCCTATTCTGTGCATTGTCTTTTCGCTTTCTTGATGGTGTCCTTTGAAGTACATTTTTTTTTTAATATGGGCGAAATCCAGTTTATCTATTTTTGTTGTTGTTGCTTATGCTTTTGGTGTCATATCTAAGAAACCATTGCCTAATCCAAAATCATGAATATTTACACCTATGTTTTTGTCAAAGAATTTAATGGTTTTAGCTCTTATATTTAGGTCTTTGATCCATTGAGTTAATTTTTTGTATATGGCATGAGGTAGAGGTCCAACTTCATTCTTTCGCATGTTGATATCCAGCTGTCCCAGCACCATTTGTTGAAAAGACTCTTTTTTCACCCCTTCGAATTGTCTTGGCACCCTTATTGAAAATCAACTGACCATAAGTGTAAAGGTTTATTTCTGGACTTTCAATTCTGTTCCATTAATCTCTCTATATATCTATCAATATATCTACCCTTATGTCAGTACCACGTTGTATTGATTACTGACTATAGCTTTGGAATAAGTTTTGAAATTGGAAACTGAGTCCTCCACCTTTGTTCTTCTTTTTCAAGATTGTTTGGGCTATCCTTGGTCCCTTTTGTTTTCATATTAATTCTAGGATCAGCTTGTCTATTACTGTGAAAAATGTAGCTGGGATTTTGATATGGATTGCACTGAATCTGTAGATTAATTTGGGGAGGATTGCCATCTTAACAACGTTAAGTTTTCCAATTCATCAAGATGGGATGTTTTTCATTTATTTAGGTCATCTTTTATCTCTTTCAACAATGTTTTATAGTCTGCATTTTACAAGTGTTGAGCTCTTAAATTTATTTCTAAGTATTTTATTCTTTTTGATGCTATTGTAAATGGAATTGTTTACTTAATTTTATTTTCAGATTGTTCATTGCTAGTGTATAGAAATACAATTGATTTTGGTATACAGATCTTCTTTCTTAAACCTTGGCTGAACTCATTTATTAGTTCTGATAGTTGTTAGACACTTGGTATTTCTAGTCTTTTTGATAAAGCCATTCTAACAGGTGTGAAGTGATATCTCATTGTGGTTTTCATTTGCATTTCCCTGATGATTAATGATGTAGAGCATCTTTTCCTGTATCTGTTGGCCATCTGTTTGTCTTCTTTGGAAAAATGTCTATTCAGATCTTCTGTCCATTTTTTTAATCAGATTGGCTTCTTTTGCTATTGAGTTGTATAAGTTCTTTATATATTTTGGATATTAGCCCCTTATCAGATATATGATTTGTAAATATTTTTTCCCATTCAGTGGGTTCCCTTTTCATTTTGTTGATAGTTTCCTTTGCTATGCAGAAGCTTTTTAGTTTAAGGTAGTCCCTCTTGTTTGTTTTTGCTTTTGGTGTCAGATTCAAAAAGTCATTGCCAAGACCTATGTCAAGGAGCTTACCACCTATGTTTTCTTCTAGGAGTTTTAGGGTTTCAGGTCTTACATTCAAGTCTTTTATCCATTTTGAGTTAATTTTTGTGTGTGGTGTAAGATAGTGGTCCAGTTCTTGAACTTTTGCCTGTGGCTATCCAATTTTCCCAACACCATTTATTGAAGAAATTTCCCTTTCCCCATTGTATATTCTTGGTTCCTTTGTTGTAAATTAATTGATCATGTATGCGTAAGTTTCTGGGCTCTCTATTCTGTTCCTTTGATCTATGCGTCTATTTTTATGCCAGTACCGTTACTGTTTTGATTACTATAGCTTTGTAATATAGTTTGAAATTAGGGAGCACGATGCTTCCAGCTTTGTTCTTCTTTCTCAAGATTGCTTTGGCTATTCAGGGTCTTTTATAGTTTTATACAAATTTTAGGATTGTTTGTTCCAGTTCTGTGAAAAAATGCCATTGGAATTTTGATAGGGGATTTTGCACTGAATCTGATATTGCTTTGGGTATGGACATATTAACAATATTAATTCTTCCAATCCATAAGCATGAATATCTTTTCATTTATTTGTGTTGTCTTCAATTCTTTCATTAATGTCTTGTAATTTTCAATATACAAGTCTTTCACCTCCTTGGTTAAATTTATTCCTAAGTATTTTATTCTTTTTGTTGCAATTGTAAATGGGATTGTTTTCCTAATTTCTCTTTCTGATAGTTCATTATTAGTGTATAGAAATGCAACAGCTTTTTGTGTATTGATTTTGTATCCTGCAACTATACTGAATTTGTTTATTATTTCTAACACTTTTTTGATGGCATCTGTGGGGTTTTCTATATATAATATCATTGTCATCTGCAAATAGTGACAGTTTTACTTCTTCCTTTCCATTTAGGATGCCTTTTATTTCTTCTTCTTGCCTAATCACTCTGACTAGGACTTCCAATACTATGTTGAATAAAAGTGGTAAAAGTGGACATCCTTGTCTTATTCCTAATCTTAGAGGAAAAGCTTTCAGCGTTTCATCATTGAGTATGAAAGCTGTGGGCTTGTCATATATGGCCTTAGGATTTCTATATACAAGATCCTGTCATCTATGAATATAGTTTTACTTCTTTCTCTACATAAAGCTTTAAAAGAACCACAAGTCATTTTTTAATAAGAGTATTTGTTTCAGTTATCTGAGAGAGTGAGGAGAAGGTCAAAAAGGGAACAAGGAAGAAGAGTCTGACTTTGCTTTTCTCGCCAGTCTTTGACTGGATTGACTGTGGCAGTGTTTGTTGCCTAACGCAATCCAGGCTCCCCTTCCTGAGACTGTGAGGATTTGTCCATCTGTATGCCTCATTTCTAACCATATTAGTCAGGCAGGAGTATATACACATATATGTCTTGCATATGTCCACACATAGCATTCTCTTTGCCATAGCAACCTTTTCTTATAGGGACCTCACTGCCTAGGCTAAAAGTATGTGGCAAAGAAGAGGGAGGAAATCAAAGCAACTTCTGTGTGATGTGCCCAAGGATCAGAGTGTTTTGCTGGAAAATCACCGTCTCTGGTTAGATGTGGTTATACTTTCACAAGTTAATTTGTGGTTTTACTTCCACAAATTCAAATTAGAAGTGGTTTTATTTTCATAAGTTCAGAGAGTTGGGTTTTGGTGTTCTCCTGGACACTGGTCAAATTCTGGACACATCACCTGTCACCTTGGTTTACCTTTATATTAATGCCTTTATATAGCAAAGAGTAGCACAAAAATGTCATGAAACAAATAAAAATTAGTCTGTGAATGTGCCAGAAACACAATGTAGGAAAAGCCTTCCCTCACGGAGTCAGCACAACTTTCGAGGTATATGTGGATGCCACCATGCCACCTCCTATATTGATCTATTAGCCAGTCTGTTACCTTTTTGGTTAAATATGAATTTTGCAACCTGAAGAGTACGTGTTCTTATTTGTCATTCTGAGAAATAACAATATACAATATAATGCTGCTAAGGGATACCAGTTTATATCCAGATGCCTTAGGAGAAATTTTTCATTTGGGGCCTGTTTATATCAGGCAGCCCCTGTTCATATCAACAGTAGTTTGAGAGTATGTCAGAGCAACAAAAGCAATTCACAGTTCCAAGAATGTAGAGGACTTTCAAAAAGTGCATGATACAGTCTGAAGTCAGTAATGTCTAAGCTATTGCACTCATTGGACTTCTTTTTGAATAGCCTGTTATGATCATAATTATAGACAGCAACGTAAAGTGGCTTTAGCCCATTCTGTTTCTAGCCAGGGAAAATAAAATTATGACCTCAGCTTCCTTTTATTTAATTTGTTATCCTAAAAATACAAGCTCACTCTATTGGACAACTAGAGGTGCATATCACCACGCACCTTTTGTTCATAAGCTAATGTTAAGGGGATCCTAAAATCTGATCGTTGACTTCAGATTCCTGCAAGGAGATTACTTTTAGAAGCAGCTCAGGTTCCTTCAATTACTTAGGTTCTGTTGGGGTGGCAGGGACTCCAACTGAATTTAGCAATGGAATCTCCTGAAAATAGATGTTCTGGATTCAATATAACAATCACCTTTTTATATTTGTATTAATGGGGAGGGGACAGGGGCATAGGTAATCAAAGGCCTTCGAAGTTGGTTTTAAAATATAGGACAAGGAAATTTTGGAGGGTTGCAACTTGCAGTTGTTTTACATGAACTAATAAGGATCTCAGTTTGCATTTCTTGGGCATGCACAGGCCAGAGCATGAGACGGAAGTGTCCCTGTGTTTTGAGATGGGTTTGAATGCTGTAGCTTTGAGTTTTCAGTTGTTCTTCTGCCAGAAGGGTTCTGGGGGCACTCTGGGAGATGCCACATTGCATTTGCCTTGTTTTGTGCTTTAGAATGCTGCTAGTTTTTGAATTATACAGTTTGTTTTTTGCTTTTTTTTTTTCTTATCCTCTATAGATGATCACAGTAGGGTGAAGTTAAGACCTTTACCAGGAAAAGACTCTAAGCACAGCGACTACATTAATGCAAACTATGTCGATGTAAGTCAGAAATGTTTTTATAAACCTGTTTCTGATCATTGAAGAGTGCCACAGAGACTGTTGAATGTGTTTTGATACCGCACAGAGCTTTCACTAAACACACAGCCTGTTCGATATGGAAGGCACTTGAATGATTAAGTGGTCTGTGACGCTGCTTTCACCTTACTGTGTGCTGTGTCATCTTTGAAGGGTTACAACAAAGCGAAAGCCTACATCGCCACCCAGGGCCCTTTAAAGTCTACATTTGAAGATTTCTGGAGGATGATTTGGGAACAAAACACTGGAATCATTGTCATGATTACGAACCTTGTGGAAAAAGGAAGAGTAAGAGCCTCTTGACTTAATATCTTAATCATGTACCTTCATTCAAAAGAATATTTATGGAGTACCTGCTGTAGGATAGGAACTTGGCCAAAGATAAAGAGTTATAGAAATGAAAAGTGTTCTCTCTGCCCTTACCTTACTTGTGACCTGATGGGAAAGAGAGCTATGCACTTTCCAGAGTAGATTAAATGTGATGATAGAGATGAATAGGGTGTTAGAGGAATGCTGCAAAATGGATGAATGCATCCTCTAGTACAGAGATTTTGGAAAGGAGCTGATATTTGAGATGAGATTTGAACGATGACAAGAAGGAGGAGTTACACAGGCTGAAAAGAGAAGGGAGGACATTCCAAGTACAGGGGATGGAAAGAACAAAAGCAGGAAAGTTGGAAGAAACATAGTATAGTCAAGGAACTACAAATAGTTCAGATTGGGGGAAGTAAAGACAGCTTAAACACTTGACCTTTAAGATGGTGATTAATATTTTAGAATTTATTAGATGATGCTAATTTAGGCTGGAATAAGGGCTATGCCTCAGGTTCATTGCTCAGAATCACTACCGCTTCACTTTGACTGTGGAGTCTGTTTTGCATTGGTGACCCATGTTGTAACACGAAGAATCGCACAGTTACGAGAAAGTGTCTTGTAACTGTGAATGCAGCCTGACCTCCCAAATGATACTTAAACTTCCTTTATAACGTATCCTACCCACATTTCTTACAGGTCAAACATACAGGTTTCTTTCTTAGGCCTCCTTTAAAGTACATCATGTGTTGAAAGATGATCATGAATACAAGGTCCGTTTCTCAAATGATCTTGCCCAAACTTGTCCCAAGATTAACCTCTTCAGAGGTCATGTCTGCCTGTCAGCAGTTCAGCCTATGCATTCCTTTTTCAGTCAACTACATGGTGATATTACCTGTGTTTTGATATTGTCATTTGAAATCACATTATCAACAGTAGAATTGGGGCATAAATTTGCAGATATAATTCATAACTTTTTCTTTTTGCAGCGGAAATGTGATCAGTATTGGCCAACAGAGAATAGCGAGGAGTATGGAAACATCATTGTCACACTGAAGAGCACAAAAATACATGCCTGCTATACTGTTCGTCGTTTTTCAGTCAGAAATACAAAAGTGAAAAAGGTATTGAAGGAACTGGGTGGGCTGCCAGGGCTTCTCTTTTTTAAACTTGTATGAAAATTACTGTACAACCAAGGCCAATTCTCATACCCAACTTGGTTTAAAAAAAAATGTATTTTTAAAACATTTTTTCACAAGTCTTTTGATTGACATCAATGTATGGTGTGAAAGACATTGGCAAAGCACATAATAGAATTTAACTGGCCTGATTGAGTTCTTTAATCTCTTCATGAAGAAGGCTTCATTTAAAAAAGAAAAAGGTCTTCTTAGGTTTTGGTAACCAGCAAATATGGCAGCATCTGTTTGTTGATTTAGCTTTTTAATTCCAATTTTCTGACAGCTTTAAAGCATTGTTTCCCAAAGTGTGTTCCAAGGAATACTAGCTGTGCAAGATGCTTGCAAAAGTCAGATCTGCTATTCAATAAGTATGGGAAATGAATGCTAGCTACATAATATGTCTCTCCCCTTAGAGACTACAATGAACACAAGTGACCAGAGTGCTCCAGTTAAGAAACCTATATAACTTTGTTTTGCCTACTGTTTCCTAATGTGACAACCATAAAACCTTTTTCTATCGAACTGTTAACATCCTGAGAGTCACGCCTTGTGGAAATGCTGCTTTCAAGTTATCTCAGTTTCTCTTTTTTCAAAATCCAGTCCCATAAAGACTCTTAGATCATTACAGCAGTACTATGAACTCTAGGTAGATGCTCATTAAGAAAAATGAGACTCTGCAGAGGCTGAGGTACGTCAGTTGTTTGTAGCAATGGGTCTTGCACATCTCTGAGAATGTGATAAACTGTAGCCCCCTTGCCCCAGAAGAATTCATGTTTACTCAGATTTTTATGTACAGTTTCAGTGGCTCTGAAGCCCATTTGTGATCCAAGGTTAACAGTTCTTTCTATGTATAGTTTTTTCTGAGAATGGCAGAAGTATATAAAAGTCAGCGCCACTGTATTTATCTGTATTCTCCACAATAGAGCTGTTAGCTGCCTCAAGCTAACCAATAACCAGTTTATACTTATAAAGCCCATTGCTCATGGAAACCCTTCAGGTATTTAAACATGGCCCACATACTCCTGTTTTAGAAAAACAGCTTAAGTCAGAGGAGGAGGTCAAATAGGTACTTTAGGTGCTTTGCACACTGACAAGAGGAAAAAGTAATAACTGAAAATGAGAATGAAATAGGAAAATGAGAGTTAACGGAAGAATTAAGAAATCAAAGCCATCCAGGGCCTTTGTAGCACAGGGCCAGACACCCTAGAAGCTTCAGTGTTGATTGATTAACGACCCTGAGTCATCAAAAAAAAGTTAAAATTTTTAGAAGTATTGGTAATAAGAAAAAAACATATCATGGCAAGTGATTTATTTGGGGAAACTCTTCATCCAAAGTAGTTAAAATGTAAGAAATTCAGCCCCTTAAAAGAAAACTACCTGAAAAATTCATTTATGAAAGTGACAGGTAAATGTATTGTTGCCTTTGACCCTAGAGATTGAGAACCATTTGTCACGGCGGATTTTCTGCATGCTTCCTGGAGAGTGTACAGCAGGAGCCAGCACTCGGGCTCCTGAAGGTCCAGCCTGGACAGTGGAGAAAGGATGCGAGTCAGGCCCACGGTCAAATGACAGCAAAGCCCTAAGCCTTCTGGAGTTGGGGCAGAAAGTCAGGAAATGGAGGCCTTGTAGGCGATTGACAAAATGCTTTGGATGGTTCCAAATTCAAAACACTGATATTAAACATTCATTCTTGGTACAATCTTAAACCATTTTCTCCTCTAAGAGATGTCTGATACGTCCCGTCCAGCTGGTAATGTCTCCATTTAGTGCATGAGACGGCCACAAAGAGAAAATGACCTAGCGCAGGAACAGTAATTACGGTGTATGAGGTCAGAGGTTGTTTCCTGACATCTTTACGTTATTCTTATCCAGAATCTTATCCACATCTTTTTTCACTTTTCTCATAGGGTCAGAAGGGAAATCCCAAGGGTCGTCAGAATGAAAGGGTGGTGATCCAGTATCACTACACGCAGTGGCCTGATATGGGGGTTCCCGAGTACGCCCTCCCGGTCCTGACCTTTGTGAGGAGATCCTCAGCAGCACGGATGCCAGAAATGGGCCCTGTGTTGGTGCACTGCAGGTGGGGCCAGAGTCTTTCTCTCCTTCTGCCTGGGATTCTACATTTGAAGCGGGCAGAGCACGGGGTGTGGGCCTGTGAACTTGGACCACTGTAGCTCTGCTACTGCTTTGTTTGATTTAGAAACTGAGATTTCCACTGAAAACTGGGACCAATAAGACTTGTTAGAGTTCTGTAAAGTAACTATAGTCCCATAATATTAAGAAATCATCTGCTGCTTCTGAGGTTAAAACAAAATCTGCTTTTAGAGGATTAATCTCTAGTTTTTATAACATCATCTTATTATTAATAAAATCCCCATTGTTTATAGGGAAATTGTAGGCTGCTCTTAATACATAAAAATCTGACCTTAAACAGAACTTTAGAGCTTTCTACACTAGAGATTTTGAGTTTTTGTATATAGCTTTTCTGTAGGGTTCCTCTAAAATAATATTTATAATATGTATAAAAGGATTTTATTTTCAAAACTTTAGTTTATATGTGCTATATAAAATACCTTTTAAAAAGCACTGGGAAAGCCTGCTGTAAAGCCTATTTTCTCTCCTTAACTACCTTAAACAACCTTAGTTGGTTGTTTAAAAATGCTTTTGTTTTGTTTCATTTGTAATTGCATTTTTGGCTCTTTTTTTCACTTTGGTATTAAAATGGATGTTGCTTATTCTATGATTTATGTTGCACAGCTGCACAGCATTTTCTAAGCACATCTTCTGGGGTCTTCTTATAATATGCAAAGTCCTTTGCAGAAATTGGAACCCATCTTCTGTTTAAAATCCCATGAGAACTCTACATTTTTGCTAACCCATTTAGGAATCATTAAAATAGAGATGAAAGTCCATCAAAGAGCTTAGGTATCAGTGGAGTTGTGTGAGATGGGGAACCTGCTGGCGGATTCTGCCAAAAGAAGCTTGTTATTCAGTACTATAGAACTTAGGTCTTCCTGAGTATTTTTGTTTAATGACAATTAGGAAATGTGAATGAGAGGCCAAATTTTCCAGATGTGGCATTCTTATTCTATACCCGGATTACTAAAGGAAAGCACCCCTTTTAATGGGAACTTACTTTTTTGTGTGTGTGAGGAAGATCAGCCCTGAGCTAACATCCATGCTAATCCTCCTCTTTTTGCTGATGAAGACCAGCTCTGAGCTAACATCTATTGCCAGTCCTCCTCCTTTTTCCCCCCAAAGCCCCAGGAGATAGTTGTAGGTCATAGTTGCACATCCTTCTAGTTATTATATGTGGGACTTGGCCTCAGCATGGCGGGAGAAGCAGTGTGTCGGTGCGCGCACAGGATCAGAACCCGGGCCGCCAGTAGCGGAGCACGCGCACTTAACCGCCAAGCCACAGGGCCGGCCCCAATGGGAACTTTCTAATACTGGGCAGACTGGGGGAGTTGTGCAGAAAGAAGTTTATTGAAAGGATGATGGGTACCCCCAGAATTACTGGGAGAATTAGAGAACCAGGGCCATGCCTAAACAGCAAGGAAAAACTCCCTACACAATGACTCTGTAGATGTGGTTCTGGTGTGGAGACGGCTGCTGCCAGGAGAGACATCTCTCTGTCCCTTGCATCACTGAGCTTGAGCTGCAGGGGAGGCCAAGAGGGCAGATACGTAACATCTTTCTCCAGTTCCTATGGTATAAAGGCAGTCTTTGCTCTCCATCAAGACTCATGAGGTGGGAAAAGTCCTACTAAAGTTTTTGGATGCTATCCATAATGAATAACCTGTATCAACTACACTAGGTTATCTAAACAACAAGGTTATTTCTAAGCTCGTTAAATATTAAGATTGTAATTTCTCCAGTCCACAGTTAATGACTTGATAAAGCAGAAGGTGCTAGTTGAGTGTCTGCATTTCTTCCAGCGCTGGTGTGGGCAGGACAGGCACCTACATTGTAATAGACAGCATGCTGCAACAGATAAAAGACAAAAGCACAGTTAATGTCCTGGGATTCCTGAAGCATATCAGGACACAGCGTAACTACCTCGTCCAGACTGAGGTAAGGAGTATCTGCCAGTGCTTTCGTGCGATTCTAGCACATGCTTTAACTGAAAGCTGAATGATATTGAGGAGCCAGATTCATTCTCTTAGGGCTTGAAGGAATTCACAGGTTTGTATTAGAAGATATCCTGACCATGATATACTATTCTTTGACTCCTAGTTTACCATTTCTGTATGGATCTTTAATTTAGATTTCTTAATAACTACACAAGCACTTTTGAAGCAGATACAGTAGTAGCTAGGCTGTGTTCGATGATATGGGGAGTTAAACATGTTGTCTGGCCTGAGAAATATATATGAGAGAATGGTTCTAAAGCCCTTCATTGAATACACATTTCTCCATTGCTTGCTGCATTGAACCTACTGTTTGAGGCATGGTATGGAATACAGAGCTAAAATCAGCACAGACTCTACCCTAAAATAAGTTATGATGAATAAGCAAGTATTAGAGCAAACCACCTAGCTGTAAATGCTTGAAGAAATTTACTGGAAGGTTCCTGTTAGAGGAAGAGTTAATCTAAGGTAGATTTCATGAACGGGATAGAGGTGGCTGCCCCTTAACAGCTCTCCTCAGTGACTACCATCTAATGTGCCTTTTAGGAGCAGTACATTTTCATCCATGATGCCTTGTTGGAAGCCATTCTTGGAAAGGAGACTGAAGTATCTTCAAATCAGCTGCATAGCTATGTGAACAGCATCCTCATACCAGGAGTTGGAGGAAAGACACGACTGGAAAAACAATTCAAGGTAGTCCTTTGAATACATTTCTTTGGTTAAAAAACAAAAAAAAAAGCAAGGAAGTAAAGAAATGCCTTGAGTTTGAGGGTCATGTCTTTTTTGCAAGAATGTATAGACTGACATGGATTACTATTTATACACTTCTAATGTAATGTGAAGGAAATGAAGTTTCAACCTATGTATGAATTGTTGGTATCCAAGTAGATGGCACAGTGCTATATTTTCTTCTGAGCAGTTTATGACTTTTTCTGAACATAAATGTCAGCCCCTGGCCATAATGACATAATACTTTGAGTCGGGCATCCTAGTTTAAAAAACATCCTCTGTATTTTTTCTGAACTAATCTACCTTTTCCTTATTAAGGATGGTTATTTGTTGACATGTTGTCCTAAAAGTAAACCTATTTGAAAGACTAGCCTAACAGATAATTTAGAAACTAAAAAAGAATTACTGAAGAATACTAGAGAAAAGTTAACTTTCCCTAAATGGTTGTTCTTTTACTTTGATAGGAACGTGAAGTTTAAAGGCAGTTAGGGTTTATATGGAATTGACTGAGGTGAAGGTGAAAAAAGACCATAAGAACTACTCACGTAATTAAGATCAGAAAAACTCAGTTGTTTCAGAGGATTTATTATAACTTTCAAACGTTGTCTGTCTCTCCAATTACTAAGTGCTTTCCAATTTATTAGTCTCTCATTAGTCTTTTAAATTCTTTTTTTGCACACTGTTCCATATGTAATTTCTCATTTTGTGTCAAGGTGGAAAGAATGAGATGAATCTGTGCAGTTTTAGTTTTCATGGTAAAACTTTCTCTAGACTCTGAAACCTTCATTTGAATCTTAGCTAAAGAAATGAGACTGCCAAGCAAGTTATAACAAGTGATATGAAATGAAAAATAGATTAATTTCACTAAGTTCAGTCAAAACAATTTTAAATTGCTAGCTCTCCTCTTATAATATCCAAACTACTGTAAAAACTATTTGAAGTAATTAATAGTAGGGACATAGTGTCTCATTTTATAAGTTTAAAATGAATTCTTAAATAATATTAAGTACCAACACTTCTTAAATTCTGCCTTTCTTTTCTATTTCTGCAATATTTGTTTACACATACTTAAAAAAAAAATTAACCAAAGAAATCAGTTCATTCCATTGGAAACCAAGTAATTGATTTTTTTACAAGCACTAACCACTTGAGAACTTAAGCAGAAGAAAAAGGCAAGAATCAGAAACTTGAAAACTACACCCAGGGCCCTTGACAGTAGCACTAAAGCATTTAGAGGAGGCTGTTCCCAAATACTCTACTAAGATGGATGTGCCCCATCCCACACCCCCAAAAAATAGGATTGACAAAATGGTTCAACCAAGCTATACAAACAGGAAGAATAACCAAACTACTGTGCTAATTATTTATAATGGCCTTAGAACAATATCAGTTTAGTTCAACAGAAATTTACTGAGAACCTAAGAAATCCTTTATGTTCAAGAAACATAATTAGCTCTTATTACCAAGAAGCAGTCTTTTCTAGTGTAGACCCACTTGAGTCTCACGTGCCTATATGGAATTAGGAAAAAAAATTCACAAAAGTGGTGACATCGTCAACAGAAAAATCCACATTAATTCAATAAATATCTCTTGCTCACATAGTACCTGTCATCATCAAGAAGCCTAAGGCCTGATAGTAGAAATAAGACAAGCATACAAATAACCAAGGTAATTGAGAGAAGTACCACTCCTGAAACACAAAAAAGTGTTCTTTGGGACACAAAAATGTTTTTGTTCATCAGTAATCTGATTATTGATATTTTTGGCAGATCATCAAGCAAATGCTATCAATCATACCCTTGGTTTTTTTGTTTGTTTTGTTGTTTTTACAGCTTTATTGAGATATAATTGATATATAACATTGTGTAAGTTTATGGTGTACAAAGTAATGATTTGATATATGGATACATTGTGAAATGATTATCACAATAAGGTTAGTTAACACGTCCACAATTATACCTTTGAATGAAAACTGAAATGTTGCTTTTCTTTCAGCTGGTCACACAATGTAATGCAAAATATGTGGAATGCTTTAGTGCGCAGAAAGAGTGTAACAAAGAAAAGAACAGAAACTCTTCAGTTGTGCCATGTAAGATCTTAAAATCAGTTTGATTTGGTTGATTGTGTTAGTATTTTTATCATTAGATTTTATGTATTATGTAAAGAGGAAACCACTACCAAGGGGAAAAGTTATGCTCAGGACAACTAAGGCAGTTTGATCAAACTGGGAGGGGTGGCTGTCAGTGCCAGCAAGTTGCTGCATCTACGTGACATGAAATTGAGCTTCAGTTCACCTCAAAATTCAAGGATTAGGTTACTTATCTACATATCTTAACTAAAAAAAAAAGTAAAGCCATTATCACTATGGCATTAACACTTCTTTAAAACTTAGAGTCCAGATTAATCTGAACACCTAGAAGTACATCGTTAAATTATTCTGGCTATTGAGATCAAAGTACTGTTGATAGGTGGTGACCTTTGTATAAATAACTTGGGACACAGCAGATGATACTGTGGACGCACTGTAGACACAGGCATGGGTGATGGTTGGAGAGATTATCTCTACTGAAAAAGGCCACTGTTTTCTAAGCCCTTTACAGGGAGAAAGATATGGATAAAGGGATGGCAAAAGAGCAAAATACAATATGTTGCTATAATTGTAGGAATATCAAACCAGGGTCAAAAATTATCTGAAAACCTCTGTCATCTCAGCACAGTATTCTCTTAGTGATCTGCTTTGAAAACCTCTCCCACAGTAAAATTTTATTCCTATAATGCCTATGTCCTGGGAACGGGCAGCAAAATTTCATTTTACATTTTCCCTTAGCTGATAACACTTTAGCTTTGCTAAAAATATAGGTAAGTCTTAAAAAGAAAGGGGAGCCAGGGGGATACATTACTCACCAAGTAAATCTCAGAAAGCAGTAGTGGTTCTGTGTGTATAATAAGGCATATGTGGTGTTTTTGTTTTTTCCATATGATAGCTGAGCGTGCTCGAGTGGGTCTTGCACCGTTGCCTGGAATGAAAGGAACAGATTACATTAATGCTTCTTATATCATGGTGAGAGTCAACAGTTAATTATAAATAAAGTCAATTAAGCTGAAAGGTGCTAAAGAGCAGATACCACCTATGTGACTGATTTCATTTTTCAAATAATTTCTCCATGTGTAATAGCAAAATTATAGAGATTTTCGTATCTGGAAACCTCTAACAAAAGACACCTAATCAGTTGGGTACAAAAATACTTAAATTAAGAACAATGCTTGTTAAGGAACTGATTTTATTGTTAATTTCACCCATCTAGTCTTTGAATAAATGTTGAAATTACTATTAAGTAAAAACAGCAGGGGTAACTAGAAGTGAATTGCACGTGGAGAGAAAATTGTCTACATGTTAGCAGAAGTACATCTAAGATTTAGCCAAATGTACTCAATGCCTTTTTCAATTATTTTAGTGTGGTCAAAACAATGCTGTCTTATTTCATGAATATATTTTACTACCAGAAAGTTAGAATAAAATGTTCATAATTGCTGATTTTTCATCTTCCTAACTGAAGGGCTATTATAGGAGCAATGAATTTATTATAACTCAGCATCCTCTGCCACATACTACGAAAGATTTCTGGCGAATGATTTGGGATCATAATGCACAGATCATTGTCATGCTGCCAGACAACCAGAGCTTGGTAAGTAAAGCACATCTGCTATATATTAATGAGCCTGTGAGGCTATAAGCATAAATTACATCGATACCTCGCCACAGGGCTGTAGTGTCTGGATATGCTAGGGAGGGAATTTAGACTTCTCATCTTTAAGTCTGTACAGATTCCTTTCATAGTCCCACAATTACTGTCCTTATCAGTTCCATTGTTTGATTCTCTAGTGCTGGTGATATCACCCCTCAGTTGTACTCTACATGGCAGTGCGGTAGATGGTTTTGAAAAAGGTCCTTTTAGAAACCTCATTAATGTATGACCTTAACCTGACCTCTTAGTTGCTATGTGTCACTTTTGAAAAATAAATAAATAATACCAGCTAACATTTGAGTATGTAATTGTGTTTACTCTACATGTATTCACTCATTTAATCCTCTCTACAATTTGATGACATAGGTACTGTTATTGCCTTATTTAATAGCTGAGAAAACTGAGGGAAATAACTTGCCCCAGGGCATACACAAAAAATTGGAGCTAAAAAAAATTGTATCAAAAGTACTAAAAATGTAGCATTATTTTTCCGCATGCCATAGGCAAGTCAGATCTATTACAGGGAAGGAGATAAGGGAAGGCCGTTTTGTTCCAACTTAAAGGTGCTTTTTAAGACCTTGACTAAACTTCTAGCTCTTTCTCATCCCTTTAGTCCTTCCTATTGAGGTCTCTAGACTATAGAGGAGAAGGGTGAGCAAGTTTATGAAAATAAACTTAAATGTTTCTGGTTAGATCTCATTGCATTTTTAAGTTTCAGAATTAGTTGGGTCTTCAAAAGGTACTAGGAGGACATGTAAGCCCACAAAGTAAAAACAAAAACAAAAAACAATGAGGATCTGCCTCCATGTGTGTCAGATTAGTGAGTTTTTTAATCAAGAAAGAACAGCATGTGATTGAACCCCTAGTCTTGATGACATGCATTTGACTGTGTGCCCAGTCAGTGGGAACTTCTTCACTTTGTCGCATTTTGCTCCAGCTTCAGAATACCAAGACTGCTTCTGTATGATAGAATGGCAGCAAAGTTGAGAATCTTAAGCTAAAAACTGGAGTGTAAATTTTCAAATTAGCTGGCAATAGAGGTCTATTCTGTTTGGCATGTGGAAATTGGAGCATTTAGGGTTGTTAAAACGTTCATTTGTTGGATGAGTCAGTATTTTGTTATTGTCACTTAACAGAGGACAGTCACCAAAAGCATCTACCCACAAGCTCGTTTTTATGAGGAGGCTAGGGGGATACTGGACCAAATAAGTTGCTACATGTTCTATAGACAGTGAGGATACAGGAACGGCCCTGGAGTATGTCATCTCAGTGTCGTTGAGGCCCAGGGAGGCTAGGCTAGAATCATAGAGGCCTGCACTCTCGGCTCCAGGGTCAAAAGTCAGATTCTTTAGTGCAGTTTTTCCTAAAGATAATGTTTCTGGATTCTTTTGTTTGTTTTATTACTTATTCCTACTATAACTTGATAAGACCACGATTCTGTGAATAGCCCAAAAGTCTCTGGTTCCTAACTCAGAAAGCGCTGTTATAGAAGCCTAGGCATCTTTGACCTATAAATATATTTGGAAGTAAAATAACCAGGAGACCAGAGTGCCTACTGAATTAAGAAGTAGCATTTATTTTTCTTAGTCTTTCAAGATGATCAATTATTCCCTACTTTACTGTCTGTATTCAAAAGGTTTTTTCTCCCTTTCATTAGACCAATTTGATAATTTACTATTCATGTTAATTTCTTTGAGTTATGTAATTTTATTATTCCCATTTTTCAGATATGGAAATTAAGGCTCGGAAAGATGAATTTATTCAGGATCACATTCAATCCTAAATCCTAAATTTAGAGGCCTTGTCCATCATTACCTTGTCTTTAATATCTGTTAAAAGAGTCCTATTTCCATTTCCTTGGACAAAATGTATTAAAACCCATGACAGTTACAGACTTCTTTTGTATAGACTAAACCCAATTGCTAATCTGTTTCCCCTTATGCTGAGCTTTAAAAATAAAAATGTACTTGGCAATAAGCTATATTGAAACTTGAAAGGGTGATAAGTCTTATTGGACTGTTGGCTCATTTCTAATGCAACAATGTAAGATTAAACAAAACCTTCTTTGTTTTGAACATTATTCAGAATTATTTCTGACTTCACTAGTAGTATCTACGTGTTACAGGCAAACTGTAGCTTGCCATTTGAACTGATTAGAAAAAGAGGTGGGGGGATGCTCATCGTCATAATCGTTGTATCTCTCACAAAATCTCCAACTTATGCAACAATTAACTTTTTCTTAGGCCTCCACAGTTTTCAGGGATAGAATTCAAGTACCAAGACTGAATATTTATGCTTAATCTTAAAATAGATGAACATTTAAAGCTTGCTTGATTCCAGGCTGAAAGACTTCCTATGTTATCCCTTTTTGAAACCTCACATTGACACATTAACTTTTCTTTAAAAGAGCACCTTGTACTTATATGCATATTTATGCACAACCTCTTTCCAAAAAGGTTCTATCCCTTACCATTTATTAGCAGTGTGATTTTAGACAATTTTTGGACCTCTCTGAGGTCTTCATCTGAGGCCCTTGGTGCCCTCATCTGTAAAGACAGATGATAAAAAAAACCCTTACCTCACTAGAATATTATCAAAATAAAATAAGAGATAATGTTTATGAAAGTGTTGAACAACTGTGGAACTGTTAACATAATCCATAGCAAATAACAATTAGAGTGTCTTAGTTGCTTAAGCAATTTGTGAAATCATAAATTAAAATTATTCAGCCTAGATCCTGTCTCCTTTTTTACTATGACAATTATATTACAGAGCACTTCTCAGCAGAGGGATAATACATCCCCTATAGAGGGAGGGTTTTTTGGTTGTTACAGCGACATAGATGAGAGGTGCTAGGAAATGGTTATTAAGTATATTTTACAATAGAATACAGTAATCAAACTTGGCATGATTAGATGGGGCTATAATTCTGTGAACTCAATTTAAAAGATGATTTGAGAGGTATGGGAAATGGCAAACATAAGAAATCATTTTGCAAGAAAATGCAAAAACAAATGTTTGACAGCACTGCAGAGGAATTTTTTTTGGTTCCCATAGGCAGAAGATGAGTTTGTGTACTGGCCAAGTCGAGAAGAATCCATGAACTGTGAGGCCTTTACCGTCACCCTTATCAGCAAAGACAGACTGTGCCTCTCTAATGAAGAACAAATTATCATCCATGACTTTATCCTTGAAGCTACACAGGTAACTTAAACCTCAGTTCCTCATTAATACCCCTACCTGGGCCCTGGATCATCCTTCTAAGTAATAATGAAGTAATTTACCACCCTCAAGACAGGCCCAGGCATTTGAGTATGACTTAATTTTAAATTCTTCCCTTCTTTCTGACTCAAATATTTGCTCTTTCCAGCTGGATAGATGAAATGTAACCATTCCTCTGATTGAGCATGCATACAAATAGGTCTGTTGACCTAATTATGAAAACAATATACTAGAGCTCAATATTTTCTTTGCCGTCAGAAATGTAAACCTTGCAATGTGTTGTAGAAATGATAATATTAAGACTTTTTTTTTAGTAAACAACATTTTGATGTGTAATAATTGCTTTCTTATGGGGTGGAAAAGAGGGGGGCCATCTTATGTTAGTAATTTAAATGATGAGCTAACCCCTTTCCTTTTTTTTTCCTTTAATTTTATAGATAAGAAGGTAGAGTAGGATATAAAGTGTCTTGTACTTTGTCACTTGAAATTTTTGCCTGAACAAAATAGGATTCTACTATTTCACTATCATGACCTGCTTGTTTTTTAATGGCAAGCAGACCTCCCTAGTATTTTTCTTCTGGCTAGCCACAGTTTGGTTAGTCTGGTATTCTTCAGTTATCTATAATATATACTTTCTCAGGAGCAAGTTCTAGTCATTAGATTATAGATATAATGACACAAAGGATGGGATATGACTCATGTCGTGTTGATTGTAGGATGACTATGTCCTAGAAGTTCGGCATTTTCAGTGTCCCAAATGGCCTAATCCAGATGCCCCCATAAGCAGTACCTTTGAACTTATTAACGTCATCAAGGAAGAGGCCTTAACAAGAGACGGCCCCACCATTGTTCATGATGAGTATGTATCTGTTTCTTAATTTTAAAATTGAGACATTTTTCTTGTTTCATTGCTATAGTAGTGGAAAGGGAAGACAGATTTTCAAAAACCTACTCCCTTCTCAGCTTGTGACAATTGCATGTTTTTTCTAATGTCTATATGTGTAAGGTGTTGTGGTTCTGTTTGCGCTTTAATTTGTCAAACCCTTCCAAGGCTTCAGGTTCTCCTAGAGTGTTTGTTTTAGAAAGGTGAAAGTACCATATCTTAACCTACGAAAATAGATTTACATGCTTTCTGTGGTATTATGTTTCAATAACACTTGTTAAAGTTAATTAAATTATCAATTAACTATTTACGTTAATTAAATAGTTACATTTATTTTAAAATCCTTACACTGAATTTCAGCAAACACTTATTAGGGAAGAAGCCTTTTTAAATATGGTATAGTTGATTAATAGTGAAAAAGTTACTGTTATTAATGATAATATTTAGAGTTTACAGTGTGTTTTGAAGTCTACAGTACTGTCTTTTAGGATTTAAGGGTAAAGAACATGAATTTCAAACAGAATCTCACAAACCTTTAGCCAATATGGCACCAATTGTACATCCTCATTTCTGTTTTAGTGCCAAGGTAGCTTAGCTCCTTGGTCAGCAAATTCTCAATGCACCCATTACGTTCATTAAATTACCAACTACTCTAGTAGCACAGATATTAATAAAGTAAAGCTTATTGTTAAGTCTTTGATTTTCCTCGAACTAATGCTGTAACAGGAAGTGCAGAGACTTTCAGCTGAGGTCAGCACCTTCACCTCAAATCAATAGTACCCTCCTATCTGAAGTGAGCCATATTACTGGCTGCTTCCAAAGAGTTGTATGGTCTTTCTTAGGAAATAGTGACTATTTTAAAATGTTGGGCTGACTCTTAATTAGATTAAGAATTAAGACTAGAAGAGCATCATAGTCGAAGCTTTAGTTAAATGGCACACTAAGTAAGGTCCCTGGAAATGTGACAACCACCAGCAGTGTTTAAATAGCACAGACAGCCTCAAAATAATTGGGTAGTTACTACTGGTTTGTGAAACTTAGGGTAGGCGGTTAATAGCATAAAGTTAGGGCTGCTTCTCGAGTTTTTTCTCCACTAATCTGGATCAGCTTTTTAAATAACTTCTGGGTTTTACCATCTCTTATCAATTCAGGCCAAATCCTAACATTGCTGCCCAAGTTTTATGACTGATTTGACTGTTATGATAGTGCTCCAAGGAATTTTGTCCTAAAGTCAGTAATGCAGCTAATCTTATATTTCATGGTGAGGGAAGAGGGAAAGAAAAAACCAACAACTAGTTAAACAATTTGAACAGAACTGTTTGATTCATTTATCTATATTCAGCTTTTGGGTATATTTGTCTCATTCAGTGGTTTTTATTTTATACCACCTGCTGAATATCTCACCTCTGGAATTAATCAAAGGTAGCTGTTCTTAGGCCTAAATAAGAAAAGAGAAAATTCATCTTAAACTAGTGGATCTGCAAATATCATATAGGTGAGCTGGAGTAAAAGCCACCTAAAGAAATGTGTTCATTCATTTACCCACCATGTCACTTAGGAGATAAGTGATTCCTCAAAAATAATAGAAATTATTTGTCCATGTCACTCAAGAACAACTTTTTAAATAGTTGCTAGCTCTAATGCAATACTCTGAATGCCAGTTACCGTTCAGTTTCCTCTTACCTAATTTTTGTACCTCTAAATATCCCTTCCTGATGGCATACAAACACCTCAAATTTAGTTTGTCTCAAACCAAATTTATCATCTTCTAGCCTGCCCCCATCCACTTAGTTGTACAAACCAGAAACACATCCGAGTTTTTCATGTGTGCCCTCTCACATCCACATCTAACTGGCCACCAAGTCTTGTTGAGGCTACCCATTCTTTTAATACATTTTTCAAAGTCTTTTACAGTCTGGCCTAAGTTTACTTTTCTAGCTGTCATCCCAATCTTCCATTGAAGTACTTCCTGCGGGCCAACTTGCCCCTGCAAGTGCCCTTTCATTCAATACACACTTCAAAAGTCACTCTCTTTGAAACTATCTCTAACTCATGCCAGAGGTGATCAAAGTCATTAACAAACATCACGTCCTTATCAATGCCATTCCTGTCTATCATATCATATATTGTAACTACTTGTTTATACGACTGTCACTCCCACATTGCTGAGACCAGCAGTGGTAACTTATTCATCCCAGTCTTCATGGGGTGAAGCCCAATGCCTGGCACATAGTAGGTGCTGGATAAATACTGGCATGAATGCGTGCTGTGCTTCAAACTGTGATGACCTACAAATTCTTAAGGATATGTACCTCTATATAAAGAGGCTTGCACCTTGCTTTTTGTTTTATTTATTGTCATTTTGCCTGCTTAAATTCTTCTGTGAACTATAAAACCAGTTTACAGAGTTTTTTAAGCTCTGTCAAAAGTGGAAGTGAGCAGGCTTGGAGAGAAGGCCTGAGTGCTTCAGTCAAAGAGTTGAACTTTTAGTGCACAAACCTCATGATATCTATGTGGTCTTCACAGAGATCTTTTTAACACCTACTTTTAGGGTTCTCAGCTGTGTGCCAGATGGATGAAGTTTCTGGATAAATGATCTAAGGATAAAATTCATCACCAAAAAGTAAACTGATTCTATGTGAGGACAGGCACAGCTTAAAGGCAAACTGCTTTATTCTCAGCATCCTACATTCATCTCGTCAAGATGATTCTGTTCAGAGGCTGATCTTCTATCATTACTGTCAAATTTTAAAAACATAGTCTTTGTTCCTACAGAAGAAGTTTGGAACATAGGCCTGGTTCTTACACAGTCTTATGAGACAATAGTAGATTAGACCTTACTCACAGAAGGAAGAATACTTTCCCGTGCAAATACTTAATGTTAATTATTCACTCTGAAAATATATCTATCTACCCTATTGGATATCAGAGTAGGCTAATTTCATTTAACAGTTTTCAAAGTGTGATCTGAAGACCGTGGTTGGTAGGGGGCGGTCTCCAAGGCCCTTCCAAGAGGAAGGGCCAAGATCTAAGAGGTCAAAACTACTTTCATAATAATACAAAGATACTACTTGCCTTGTTCACTTTCATTCTGTCCTGAGAGTTTTCCAGAGCTACATGACGTGGGGTGACATCCTCACTCTGATGGCTAATGGAATGTGTGCTTGCATGGTTTTTTGTTTTAACATTTTCTCAGTTTTAATTTCTCATATAGCAAATATTGATAGATAGAGCCCAAATAAAGAAAAGCTCTTTGGGGGGTTCCTCAATATTTTTTTTTTGGTCCTGAGATCAAAGAGTCTGAAGACTGCTGAGATGCTCTATAGGAGACACAGAAATATTTAGATAGCTTTCTATACCAAGTGCTGCAAAGACACCCACAAATCATCACTAATTCAGTTTTCATTTAATCTTCAAAATTACCCCACTAGGAAGGTAATTTTAGTTTCTCTACTTCACATATGAGAAAATAGGCACAGTGAAGCTAAGTAATAGAACTTGTATATACATACAGTTAGTAAGTGTTAGGGCCAGGACCAGCTACATAATTTGTAGGGTTCAGTGTAAAATGGAAATGCAGGAACCCTTATTCAAAAATTATTAAGAATTTCCAGATGGCAACAGCAGAGCATGAAACTAAGTGCAGGACCCTTCTGAGTAGGGAACCCATCAAAGTATGAGGCCTGCCCTACAAAACTGCACAGGTGGCAAGCCAGGAAGCTGGCTCTGGCCATAGTCAAATCCAGATCTGTCTAATCCCTCTGGTTAACACTGCCTCCCACTGGTTTTCAGAGTAAGCACTCCTGCACTCATCTCCCTTGTTTCTTCAGACTGGGTGGGCTTTTTCCTACTATATTTTCTCATTCACTTCCAAAGTTTTAATTTCTTAAAGTCCCATAGAAGGCTTTTGTGTTGCCATAATTCCCCAGGATTGGTCAAGCTTGAACTGTTTTCTTTCCTGCCCTAATGATTTCTAAGGGAAGCTTCACTGTCTTCACAATGACAGGGTTATAACTCTGGATTGCATTTTTGGTTATGATTTTTAAAACAACATCTTAAAAGCAAATAATTGTAATTTTATGAAATAGTAAAAAATATAATTGAATGAGCATAGATATTACTCCCACTGCTGATACAAGGAACCCCAAAGTGTTTTAAAATATAGACAGAGCACTTAAAAACATTACTGTACATCCGTAACTTAAAGTACTTTCATTTCTTTTATAATATCTTTGAGGCATGGGCAAGGAAAGATGAAAATACTTCTGTTTTTTTTCTTAACAGCACTGGTTAAATAAGCATTGCTCTCAATGGGGCCCTTTGAGGAAGTGGCAAACTAACTACCAAAGCCAGTGAATTTATATACTATTCTTATTTTTTCTAGGTTACAAATTAGTTTTATCACTTTTTCACCAAGTCCCTATAGTTTTGTGTGTGTGTGTGTGTGTGTGTGTGTGTGAGAGGAATATCAGCCCTGAGCTAACATCCATGCCAATCCTCCTCTTTTTTTTTTTTTTTTTTTTTGCTGAGGAAGACTAGCCCTGAGCTAACATCCGTGCCTGTCTTCCTCCACTTTATGTGGGGTGCCGCCACAGCACGGCCTGACAAGTGGTGCGTCAGTGCGTGCCTGGGATCTGAACCCCAGGCCGCCAGCAGCGGAGCGCACACACTTAACCCCTGTGCCACGGGCTGGCTCCCTAAGTCCCTGTAGTTTGAAGTGCAATCCATGAAACTTGACAGACATCCTTTAATCCTACTTAATTCCTAAACTTTTGAAAGAGAATGGCCTTTATTTTTTCAATCTTTATTCTTTCATTATAATGCTGGGTATGTAGAAGTTATTTAAAAGTATCTGTGCATTTGATTGATTTGACTTAGTTTCTAGTCATGTTTAAAGTCTTATTGTGTAGCTACTTCTTGTCAATTTAGGTACTTATTTAAGAGTGGCTAAATACAGTCATGCATCACTTAACGAC